GGAGGACGAGGTAAAGGGAAAGGAGATATTATATCTGAATTGTTGCTGAGACATTTTGATACTCAGGGATCACTTCTGGTGGTGCTTGGTGGATCGTATGGGGTGCCCAGTATCAAATCCAGGTTGGCCACATTCAAAGAAAGCACGCTACATGCTGTACTATCTCTACAGTCTCTAAACCTATTTTTTTGGTTTAAATTATATTTTATCTTGTTTTAAGTTTGAGGAAATCATGGTGTATGTGTGTATGTGTGTGTGTGTGTGTGTGTTAATTAAAATTTACCTTGTTTTAAGTTCCAGGAAATCATGTTAATGGTACCATCTGGAGCTCAGTCTGTCCTCTCAGAGATCTCATAGGAGTCAGACTCAGAGGCTTGTGTGGGCTAGAGGCGCCTTTTGGAGCAAGTGCAGTGCTTGCTCGCTCTCCATTGATGCTGAATTATTTTTGAGGTTGGAATGACAGATTTGTCTCCTTTTAACCTTTGGCTATTTAAGTTAAATTCTGCAAAGCAAGTTGAGAAATATACATGGTAAAGGCTAGTTTCTGCCCTTGATGATGGCCAAGGTGACTGTCACTTATCAGACTGGAAGTCACTCAGAAGGACCTATGAGTAATGGCTAAAATAAGAGATAATTGTGACAAATAGTTTCTTCTTAGAAAGTCATAATCACTCAACTGGATTTTATGGTTATCAAAAAGATGAAGTCTGTGATAGCTAAAGCTTTTATTTATCTACTTATTTTTTATTGAATCACCATGAGATAGTTACAAAGCTTTCATGTTTGAGTTCATTCATACAATGATTGAACACCTATCCCTCCACTCGTGCACATTTTCCACCACTTGTGTCCCCAGTAGCCCCACCCTTCCAAGCCCTCCCCTTGACTCTGTGGCAGACAATTTCCCACATACTCTCTCTCTCCTTTTGGGCATTATGGTTTGCAATATAGATACTGAGAGGCTATCATGTTTGGTCCTTTATCTACTTTCAGCACACATCTCCAACCCTGAATGATCTCTCCAACCATCGTTGATTTAGTGATTCCTGCTCAATTACAGCTGCCTTCCCCCCAGCTTAGGAGGCAGGCTTCCAATTATGGAGCAGTATTCTTGACCCTTGTGTCTACTGTCCTTGGGTGTCAGTCTCATTTTTATATTATTTTATATTTCACAAATGAGTGCAGTTATTCTATGTCTGTTCCTCTCTTTCTGACTCATTTCACTTAGCATGGTACTCTCCATGTCCATCCACATATAAGCAAATTTCATGACTTCATCTTTCCTAACAGCTGCATAGTATTCCATTGTGTAGATGTACCAAAGTTTCTTTAACCAGTTGTCTGTTCTCTGGCACTCTGATTGTTTCCAGATTCTAGCTATTGTGAACAGTGCTTCAATGAACAGACAGGTGCAGATGTCATTTCTACTATGGTTTATTTTGCACGCTGGGGATATATTTCTAGAAGTGGGATTGTAGGGTCATATGGAAGCTCAATTTCTAGTGTTTGAAGGAATGCCTGTATTGTTTTCCAAAAAGGCTGGGCCAGTCAGCATTCTGACCAACAGTGAGGGAGCGTCTTTTTCTCCCCGCATCTGTGCCAGCACTGGTTGTTCTTGTTCTTTTTGATGTTTTCTAGTCTCTGTGGTGTGAGATGATATCTCACCCGAGTTCGATTCCTCCTCCCCTCTCAGAGAGCCCTGCAAGTTACCAAGAGTATCTCGCTTGCACGGCAGAGCCTGGCAAGCTTCCCGTGACATATTTGATATGCCAAACACAGTAACAAGTCTCACAATGTCACTGGGCCTGCTCGATAAAATTGATGAATAGGAGAACAGTGCTGCTGCAGCTTTGATTTGCATCTCCCTGATGATTAGCAATGTAGAACATTTTTTCATGTGCTTTTTGGTCTTTTTTTTTTTTAAAGGACACTTTTGTTCATTTCTTGTCCCCATTTTTTGTTGGGGTTGGAGGTTTTTTCTTGTACAATTCTACAGGTGTCTTGTATATCCTGGACATTAATCCCTTATCAGATGGGTATTGGGTAAAGATTCTTTTCCATTCTGTGGGCTCTCTCTGCATTTTATCACTGTTTCTTTTGAGGTGCGGAAGCTTCTTAGTTTAATGTAGTCCCATTTGTTTGTGTTTGTTTCCACTTGCTTGGTCAGTGGTTAAAGCACTTATTAAGAGGAGAGCAAATTTTATCTTTTCTTTAGAACTGAAAAGAACCATAACCATCACCTATAGGTATATATATATGTATATATGTACATATATATTATAAAACCTCAATTACAAGTGAGAAATTAAGGAATTTTCCTCATATATTAGTTAGTGGTGGCATGATTTTGAAGTAAGTACTCCATTCTAAAGTCTGCGCCCTTCTGGACCTCATCTGTACCAGTGGATGAAGGATTATAAGGTTGCTTGGAAATGGTTATTTCATGATTTCCAAGGAAACTCGGATCGCATTTGCTTTACATCATAATTCGATATTAGAATGATTCCCCTCACTGAGTGCAATTCCATTGCATAGAATAATAATAAATGTTTATCTTCTTAGTGAGATTCTAAAAAATAAATGATGTTGTTGATAGAAGAGCCAAGAAACTATCATCATTCTCAATGGATAGAAAAATAAGTTTCATTAAATCTGTTCATCAGTCACTGGAGTCTGCTCAGGAACTAAGACCACTGTAGTAGTTAAATTTTAGTATATTACAAAAATGTCTTTCAGTAGTCAAGCATAATGAAAGGCAGATTGGTTTCGTATGCCCTGGAAGAAATATTATGAGATCTTTGTTTGAACCCAAGGAATTAGATCAATAATTTTTCCAAGAGTAGTTGCTTAAACATCCATACTAGTGAGGTCTCCTTTTGGCATCTGGAGTTTGTAGAAGCTTGAGATGTTTTCTTATGTTCATGCCTGAAATTTTCCCTCACACAAGGGCTTGCCCAGACACACAAATATATGTCAGCTCAGATCAAGTGCCCAACATCCCTGAAAGCTGTGATGAACCTTGAGGTGCTGAAACCTGGAAGTTGATTCCTCTATAGGATTCATCACATATAGTCATTCCTCTACCAAGCACACTCATGAACCTCAGACTGTACTCAAGCCCAAGGCTTCTGCAATTAAATGCATGAGTATGGGCACAGATTCCCTTGTATTGCCCTCTTCCCAAGCCTTTATTTGTGGTATCCCCCAGGGCTGCTTCTAACATTGAGGATACCTTCACATATCCAAACGGCTTATACACTTAAAAATAGAATGGGTTTTATAGCATCAACTGGCTCCTTGACATACTTACCATCATATACTTAGATATGATTCTGGTGGTTTTCTAACTTTCAAGATACTAAATGGCTAGGGATCATTCAGACCCTCTAAGTTCAGCTCTTGAAGCCACTGGGAGGGAGTTAGCCTTGCACGTGGTCAACCCAGGTTCCATCTGCAGCACCACATATGGTTCCCTGAGTCCTGCCATGAGCACAGAGACAGGAGTAAGTCCTGAGCACCACAGGATGTCCCTCCACCCACTTCCCTCCACAGAAAGGCGGGGGGAGGGAGAAGAGTGGAGATACCTGGCATTTATCAACAGGATGTTGACAGACTATAGAACCTGGTAGAACCTGGTAGCTAGGGAATTTGGATTCAAATGAGACATTGATTAGAACGGCTCTAGGTGGGCTTCTGGGCTCTGGTTGCTGTGTTAGTGCTTGTTGCCTTGGTCTGGTTTAAAATTGTCTGCCTCAACTTGAGATTGTTCTGAGGCCTGATCAGGTGGATATCCAAAAAAAAGTGACCCAAGGTCACTTTTTTCCTATAGCTCCACTAGCCTGGGGGAATCTTGAGCTGAAACCATTGACCTTGAAGGAGATCTCCTGCCAGGATATTCTACAATTTTTTGTTTTCTTGTTTTGGAGCCACACCCAGTGGTGCATAGGGGCTACTCCTGGCTTGTTTGGTACTCAAGGATCAGTCTTGGCTGTGCTTGGGGGAACATGCAGGGCTGGGGATTGGACCTTGGCCTCCTGCATGCAAAGGATATGTTCTTGATGTTCTCTTTCTCTTTGTCTCTCTCTGTCTCTGTCTCTCTTTCTCCCCACGCCCCTCCCCACCAAGCCCCAAAACATTCTAGAATTTGTGAGTGGGGAGGGGAGGATGGAGCATATTTGAGAATTTATTAGATAACTAAAGATTGGGGTTTGGAGTAGAGGGGTTTAGGTCTCTAACAGGACACAGATGCTCTGTTCTGTTCTGACACCGTTCCAGAGGATCAGGTGAGGTTATTTCTACTGGATTTGAATATACACTTGCAGAGAGATTCTCATCCTGCCTGTAGGGAATCGAGGCATTCCCTAATGGATTCCCTATGGATTCCACATCCATTCATAATGGCTCGTGTTTCTGTAGTGTTCATGAGCTATTTTCCGTTTTTCTCTTTAGACTGTAAGTTTCTTGCAGACAGGATTCTAAACGTTATCCACCACTCTGGCTTCTGTGTCTGGGTATGCACCTACTGTGGAGTAGGTGATGAAGGTGCTGAGGGCCTTTTGGAGGGACTTGTTTCTTTGTCCCTTTCTTTGGAGGGTCTGAGTTGGGCGCTTTTGAGAGGGAAGGGAGGAGAGGCTTCTTGCATGAGTCACATCTGCCTTGATTTGGTGAGCCAGTGGACATGCGCAGTCACAGATAGTCCACTCTCCGAGACCACCCACGACCCGTGCCCCAGTCCCCTGTTTTTCTGTCCACCCGCTGCTTGTTCCTCTTCCCAGATAAGTACATATAAAATGTGATTATGTTCAGAAGCTGAAGCATTTGAATAAATCAGATGCTTTTGCCCAGCCCTAGAATAAAGACTGTAGTTATTTTAACAACAACAACCACAAAAATCCTGCCTTCTTCAGCTATTTCTGGATGGAGACTGGTAATTAGCATGCCATTTGTAATTCATTGCTGTCTCAGGCTGTTTGTTTCCTTGTTCCAAGCAGAGTCGGTGGGCGAGACGGGGGTTTATTTCCTTTGGAAATGTAATTTTTGGGGGAGACCTCTGAAATGGCATTGTGAGATTAATGGTTTTCCATATATGAAGTTTGCCCAACCTGGTATTTGCGGCTCAATTTATTAGTTTTCCGTGGCTCGGTGGAGAGGAGTCACAGCTTGCCGGGATGGAATTCGGTTTCCAGAAAACTGTTCAGAACAATTTCTTCTAGAAGGATTGAGGGGACCCGAGGAAAGCCTTCTTCAGGACAAGAACAGGTAATCTGGGGGTAGGGTCAAGGAGTTTTACCTATTTGTGAGTTACTCATGGGAAAGGTTTTGCGTTTTCAGTTTATATATTGACGGAGGTGCACAGAGGCCAAGTGCAGATCCTGAACACCTTTCAGGAATTTGTACTTTGGAATGGAAGGTGAGTTTTGTGCAGGGGTTCCCAGGAGAAGGCAATGGGGCAGGGGCCTTCCTGGAGGCTCCTGGAGGGCCCCGCCTCAGCCTTCATGTTCACTCTCCAGCTGCAGAGGGAAAAAGGAAAATATGCAGTGACTGTTTCTGTTTTGGAGTGCTGAGACTTGCTGCTGACTGGAAAACGAGAGCTTGGCTGTGGTCCAAAAGGAAAGCTTTTGGTTCCTTCTTTTTCGAAAGATTTATTGGGGTGCTAGGGGTGGGACAGTCTTTAGTGAAAAGACTAATTCTCTAGATTCCTCCAGCAAAGAGGGGCTTTTGCACCCTGGCTGCTGAGTTCACCACCCTGGAGTTGCCAACAGCGAAGCCTCAGAAGCACAGGCGTGTGGCCTGAGGAGAGGTCCTGCCAGACACCGGCCTTGGACTGACTGGCTGGGGTTTTTACCCTTGTGTCTTCGCGTATCCACTGAGGGGGGAGAGGATTAACTTTGCCCTCTGAGGGCTGGGCTCATGATGAATGAAATAGGGACTTTTTTATGTCTGAACTAAATCTTTCTCAACTAATCCTGCAGCCCTTCACTTCCTGAGAGGCTCTAGAAGAGGAAGGAAAGTAAACACACACACACACACACACACACACACACACACACACGCACGCACTCACACACACAGACACACACACGCACTCACACACACAGACACACACTCACACACCAAACAAACCTCTAAGTGGGAGGCATATGTAGTCATATGTATTGTTGTTGACAAAAGCATATAGATGGATAAATGCAAGGTCCTGAGAGTCCAACAGTGCATGTGGTCTTAATTCCTCCCTAAGATATGGTGAGTAAAGGACAGGCTTAGTTGGTACAGAGCGTGGTGCCAACATTTGGATTCGAGTGTTGTTCCACATGCGAGTTTGTCATCCGAGAAAGTCATTTCTGGAAAGTGTTTAGGCGAAAGGAAACAGCTGGAAGGATTGAGTAAAGTCTGGTTCTGTTCAGGGGTGGATTCAGGGCCTCTCTCCTGGTGGATCATTGGCACAGAGGCTCATTCCAACACCTGTAGGTGGCTTGGAGGCTTCCATGCTCAGCTGTGATCTTGGTTGATGTTGTTCAAGGCACTGGGTAATGGTTATACCAGAGAGGCTGGCATAGAGCAGGTTGTGGGAGGATGCTAGTGGGTGAATGAGCTGGAGAGGGAGAGTGTCTTTCAGATTCCCCCTGAGCAAGGAGACCAACTAGATGTCACTCTTTCTTTATTATCTCAAGGGAGTTTGGACTTTCAGATTTACCTATTTACCAGTTTTAGGCAAATGGATATCCTCTGTCTTAGTTTTAGATGATGGTAGTCAAGGGTAATTTCCTTTTTTTGTGCAATTCTTGGTCATCAAAATGGACTTGGGTGATAGAACCAGGAGAAGGTAAGCTGAGTACTGTGAAGAATGTGATGGCAGTGATACAATGATATAGTGATTTTTATGTTAGGGAAGTAGATTTAGTGATCAGACCTGCCAATGTGACGTCCAAGATTTTGTCATTTGTCTTTTCACTTTGTTTTTTCATCAGACTGAAAAAAAAATCTGATGTTTATATTTACCAGTATTTTCTTTTGTGGCTTCTGGGTTTTGAGTCATAGGAATAAAATTCCTACATGGCAATAGTTTCACATGGCTGTTTGGAAGACCTGGTTTTAGAGGTTCCTATTGGTTTCTGTTTCCTAGATATGGGATACAACTCAAGTAAGAAAGCTCTGAATAACACAGATCGTTTGAACTCTACTTGTTTCTTGTTTCATAATACTTTGCTTTTGTTCTCTCTTCTTGAGTTTATGAATAAGATGCACTTAGTAAGTACATTTTTCCATTTCCCATCATTGGAGAGAGAGTGTAATTGCCACCCAAAGTGGAAAAACTCAGCTGTCTCTCAGTGGGGCCGCTAAGGCTTGTTAGAAGGCTGTGTTTTGCCCTGGGGCCTATGACTCAGCCCTGCAGCACACCCTGGCCTAGTCTGTGGATCATCCTTACAGAGTTAGTTGGCAGTTTTAGGAGGTCAGGGTATGGCTCTTAGTGTTGCTCCTGAAGACCTCAGCTGTATACTAATAAAAGAGCCCATCAAGTGATCTTGGGAACTCATCAGATGGGAGAGAAAAACAAAGCCAATAAGCATCAAATTTCACTCAGGTGTTTCCTAAGTATTCTTTTTCCAATTTTTAAAAATTTTTTTGTGCAGATCAATTATTAGATGTGCCTAACCTTTTCAGAGTATTGCTTTCAGTTTTATTTTTTTCTATGTAAGTTACCCAGGGACTGAAAGAGTGCCAGAGGACACAGTATCCTGTCTCCTATGAACTTGATAGTACCCTTAATAATAATGGTTAAAGCATGTGAAAGACCTTGAAAGAAATAATCTTTGGGGACAGAGCTATAGTGCAGCGGGTGCGGTGTTTGCCTTGCATGAAGCCAAGGGTTCAAACCTGGGTTTGATCCCTGGCATCCCATGTAGTCCCCAGAAGTAAGTCCTGAGTGTAGAGCCAGAAGTAAGCCCTGAGCACTGCGTTATGTGGCCCAAAAACCAAAAAGGTAAAAAGAAAGAACCTTTCAGGACCTGAGTGATAGTACAGCAGGTAGAATACTTGCCTTGCAGATGGTTGGCCAGGTTTGATCTCTGCCACCCCACATAGCCTCCCAAGCCCCACCAGGAGTGAGCCCTGAGTGCAGAGCCAGAAGCTAATGTGTGTAGCCCCAAGACAAGTAAAAACAAAAAAAAGAAATAACCTTTTAAAAATAAATAACAAGGGGGCTGGAGTGATAGCACAGTAGGTAGGGCATTTGCCTTGCACGTGGCCGACCCGGGTTCGATTCCCAGCATCCCATATGGTCCCTTGAGCACAGCCAAGAGTGATTCCTGAGTGCAGAGCCAGGAGTAACCCCTGTGCATTGCCAGGTGTGATCCAAAAAGTAATAAATAAATAAATAACAAATTAGGATGAGTCAGAAAACTGTTTGCTTAGCCCTTGATCACTTAAAATAAGGTATTACCTATGGTGCATTTTTGTGGAGTTAGTGTTTTCTAAGGAAGAGGAATTTTGGGATGACTATGTTTAAGACCAAGAAACACTGGTGGTTCCATGTCCGCTTTTCTGAAAAAAATGATTTGTTTAAGGACTCAGCCTGTTCTTGCAGGAGCTATTATTTGTTTATGGCTGGACATTGTGTTTGTCATCTGCAGTAAAGCTCCCTTTACTACAGTGTGCTTGTCTGCTAGGAGGCAGCTATTTTAATGGTATGCAATTGAAGCAAATATATTCACAAAGCAAAAGAATGTGATTTTTTTAGCGTTTGGCCTAGAATTTCTGCCTTAAGATGGCTGAAGTAAAGTTTGGTGCAAAGTTGAGACATGACTGTTGCATTGTCACTCACACAGGTGTAGATGAGCTAGCCAAAATGTATCTTCTCCTCCTTTTCCTCTTCCATCCTTCCTGTTTTCAACCATGGGTGCCACCGTTCCACAGGAACCACTTTCCTAGCCATTTTCATCACTAAACTTGAAACTGTTGATCGAGTGAGCATTTGATCACTTTTAAGCTGGATATATAATATATATAATTAATATAATAGATCATATTTAATTGTAATATATACAATTAATATAATATATACTATATACTATATAATGGGCTTGAGTGATAGCACAGCAGGTAGGGCGTTTACCTTGCATGTGACCGACCCGGGTTCAATTTCTCCATCCCTCTCAGAGAGCCCGGCAAGCTACCAAGAGTATCCTGCCCGCATAGCAGAGCCTGGCAAGCCCCCTGTGGCGTACTCGATATTCCAAAAACAGTAACAACAAGTCTCACAGTGGAGACATTACTGGTGCCTGCTCCAGCAAATCAATGAACAATGGGAGGATAGTGCTACAGTGGAGCGATAGCACAGCAGGTAGGGTGTCTGCCTTGCACGCAGCCAACATGGCCGACCCGAGTTCGATTCCTCCACCCCTCTCGGAGAGCCCGGCAAGCTACCGAGAGTATTCGATATGCCAGACACAGTAACAACAAAGTCTCCAATGGAGACGTTACTGGGCCCGCTCAAGCAAATCGATGATCAACGGGAGGGCCTTTACATAATATAATATGTAATATAAATCACTGTATCATTGTATCACTATCATCCCATTGTTCATTGATTTTCTAGAGAGGGTGCCAGTAACATCTCCATTCATTCTAGCCCTGAGATTTTAGCAGCCTCCCCTTACTTGTCTTTTCCAACGTATTGGAGGCTCTTTCGGGGTCAAGGGAACGAGACCTGTTATTGTTACTGTTGTTGGCATACGAATATGCCATGGGTAGCCTTCCAGGTTCTGTCGTGATAATATATATAATATAATCACTGTCACTGTCACTGTCCTCCCATTGTTCATCAATTTGCTCGAGCGGGCCCAGTAACGTCTCCATTGGAGACTTTGTTGTTTACTGTGTTTGGCATATCGAATACATCACGGGTAGCTTGCCAGGCTCTGCCGTGCAGGCGAGATACTCTTGGTAGCTTGCCGAGCTCTCAGAGAGGGGCGGAGGAATCGAACTCGGGTCAGCCATGTTGGCTGCGTGCAAGGCAAACACCCAACCTGCTGTGCTATCGCTCTAGCCCTATATAATATAATAATATAATATAATATAATAATAGAGGAAGATAATGGCCACAATGACGATATCTGTAATCCACAGATCTGTGCTGCCCACGTTTGTTGATAGTAGAGCCAAGACGGGACATGTTGGTAGGATGGCGTGGCCAGGTCGAAGGAAAGAGCAGGGTCTTGCTTACTCTAATAACACCCCACCGAAGTCTAAGCCTTTTCATT